GCGTGTGTGTGTGTGTGTGTGTGTGTGTGTCTGTCTGTCCATCTGTCTGTGTGTCTATCTGTGTAACTGTCTATCTGCCTGTGTCTCACCTGCGCAGTAGGATGATGATCATGATGGTGGCTATAGCCATACACAAGATGACCGCTACGATGGATCCTGCGATGATGCCGATGGGGGTGCTGGTACCTGGGAACACATCAACCGTCGTTTGAATCAGTTTTGGGTCGGTTTTAACCCTATCCGTACGCCCTGGGGTCATTTTATAACCCCAGGGTTGTATTCTTCCCATTTTAGAATACTTCTAGTACGAAGATCTCTTTGATACTTTCAGCATTTCTCAAAAAATCATTTTGACAGACTGCTATGCAAAGCGTACGGATCGGATTAACGAGTAAATATCCTCTTAGGAAAGTGGTTGCATAGAGTTCCCCACGTCGTATGGACACGATAGTAAAACAAGACTTACGGATAGGGTTAAAATTTATTTTTTACTTTAATGTTGTTATTTTTGCAAGTTTTATGGCCCTTGCACCACACATAGAAGGTCATATAGGCGTCAAAGTGCTGGGGAAAAGGAGAGAAACAGATGTACAGACAGACAGATAGATAGATAAACAGACAAAATAGAAGGAAGGAGTTTTACTGCACTTGCAATACAATTTTATGTCACTTTCAATACAAACAGGTCATATAAGCGTCAAAGTGCTGGGAAAAAATAAGACATACACACGCATAGAAAAGACAGACATACAGATAGACAGACAGACATATAAAAAATAGAAGAAAGGAGTTTTACGGCACTTGCCATGCAATTAGGTCATATAAGTGCCACAGTGCTGGGTAAAGGTCTGTCAGAAAGAAGGAAAGTAAAAGTTTAAGGAACGTGCAACACAATAAATAGATCAACAGAGAAGATTGGAGGTATTGCAAGAAAGCTACATACAAAGGAAAAAAGGAAAAGAGATAAGGAGGAGAGATGTCATGTTCTGCCTCTACCCCCCCCCTCCCGAAATAAAATTTATTTTTCTAAAAGATACTACCAAAAAAAAAATCAAAGTCGCCTAATCCTCCTTCTTCATTCCCTATTACATCCCCCCTCCCCCACCCCGTTTTCCACTTCTTCCCACTCTCTCTCTCTCTCTCTCGGTCTCACCCA